GGTATCCTGAAGCCCAGAGACAGACCAGAGGTGTGATTCATTCCCCCTTCCCCAGAAGGGTGATTGCTCCACTGGGCCTATCACCACAGGAATTTTCCATGACAAGCACTCACCTTGGGGAAGGGGTCATCAGACTGGCACAGGAAAGGCCCAGGCAAAGGGCCACTCTGTACATTAATACTTTGGTGATGTCTGAGGAGAAGCAGTAAACTCCCCTAGGCTTCTGACTCAAACCCTCTCAGCGGGATACTAAACCCAGCATCCACACTACTCCCAGCTCCTACACAAGGCCAAGCCCACAGAACACGCCCAAATGATGTCCTGAGAGTTAGGGACTAGGTGGAAGGGGTTGGAGGGCATCTTCTGGGAGAGTATTGGGGCGGATCACAGTTTCCGCTCCACAGGTTGCTGTAGATACAGTTCGCTGCCTGCAGAGATGATGGGCAAGTGATTGTCCATGTGGTAACTGATGAGGTGACTGACACTCTTGAAGCGGTGATCCTTTGTACGAACCACACCCTCAGGATCCACTAGTAGCAGGTGCTTGGGCTGCCCACTCTGCAAGCCAGTGAGCACATACTGGCCAGGTGTGGTCGTGCTGTCCCACACCAGGAAGTCCCCGTTGAGCCGCAGCAGTGCCTCAACCTCCCGCCGGCTTAACTTCCCATGAAACCAGGGCTCCCCTCGGAGCTGCTCAGCCATGGACACAGACTGGGGAGGTGGAGGCACTCAAAGGGCATCTTCAAAGGGCTTCATGTCAAAGAGGTCCCAGGGTGCACTGCCATTGATGGCAGGATTGGGGGTCCCAGCCCCACCAGCTGCTTGCCGGGTCTTGTCTAGGTTCTGAACATTGATGTAGGTGGGATCATCAAAGAGCTCTCTGCCTGCTGGGCAGGGTGGTGGTGGTGGCATCTGTTTGCGGACTTCTGGTTCTCCCCCAATAGGCTGGCCTACAGGCAGTGTAGCTCCCAAGTGGTTGGGGGTTTGCGTACTGGGTGGAGTCGGGCGAGGAGCCCCTGGAGTGGCTCCTTCCCGAAGCCTCATGTCTACCACCCCCCCAAGAGGGGGTTCCTTCCCAGGGAAGTCATTATAGTACTGATGATCGGGTGGCTCATCCTCCTCCTCATCCCAAGCTGAGCCATCAAAGCCAGCCATCCTGTCATGGGGGGGTGACCAGTTTTGGGGGGTTCCCGAGGTATTGTTTGAAGCACAACTCGAAGGCCTGGTCAGTGGTGCTGATGATGTCCTGGGCAAGCCCTTCAGGACACTCCAGGATGTGGCAGGCTCTCTGATTCACAGGGTCTTTGGCAACATAGGCGACATACTCAGCTGTGTCCGGATCCCTGCCAGACGCAAATGAGACAGATTGCATGTGGTGGTTGGCGATGATCTGTTTGCAGGCTGCGGCCATGAGGTTGAGGCTGCTGGTGGAGACGGTGAGAATGATTGGCATCCCAGCAAATTTCAGGTTACTACTCCCCAGGATAGAGCTGAGTGGGCGGCTACAAGGCTTTCTCCTCTTTGTCGCCCCCTTAGCACCCGGCACAGCCTCACACACCAGACTGATGGCCTCCCTGGTGACCTGAGTCCGCGTGTTGAAGTCAAGGGCTCGCATTGACTGCAGGACCTCCACACAACCCATGTACAGGGCCTCATGGAGTCTTCGTACCACACCGTGGGCCTATTTGGTTCCAGATCACCCCACTGCCTGCTTAGGTCGCAGCTCCAACTTTCTCCCTGGGCCCGGTCTCCCTGGAGAAACTTTATTGCACTCACTTCCGGCCTCACTTGGGGATTTTCAAACATCACAGTTAAGGAGTCGGTGTGAATCTATTTGAAATCTAATTTTTTTCCTCTCTGAATGTTAGCAGCAATGACACAAAAGAGCTTCTTTTTGTTTGTTTGGTGGTGTTTTTTTTTTTTTTGAGTCAGAGTCTAACTCTACTGCCCAGGCTGGAGTGCAGTGACATGCTCACAGCCACTGCAGTCTCAACTTGCTGGGCTCAGGTTGCTAATACTCACACGTACCATGCTCCTACTGCCTCAGCACATAGAATCACATCACACTGACATGCAGAGCAAAAGTCACAAGAGGAAATCTTTGATGAAGGATTGCCACAGGTTCAGGATTTGGGCAACCATGTTCTGGGTGGGCTCGGTGTTACCCAGAGAGAGATGGAGAGACTGACAAAACTTATCTTTCTCTACTCACTCTCAGCACCCTGTTTCTCTACCTTTCCTTTCCTGTTCTTGTCAAATTACAAAACTTCAGACACTGTATTCTTTCATTACATAATTAAAGTTGTGCATTGTTTCCAGGTGAAAGCCATTATCTACTGAGAGACTGGATGTCTCAGATTCTTTAAGATCATAGCCATGATGTCACCATGCTTACTCAGAAAGGAAATTTTGATGGTGTCTTTTCTCACTATTTCTTGATTGCTTCTATTCTGGCAAAAAACAAAATGCCGGAGACTTCTGGCAAGATGGCAATGGGGCAGCCTGGTCTATGAAACCCTCTGCAAAGGAGAACACAGAGGGTCTCTGGCTCTCACCCTGGGGGCTGCAGATCCCACCGTCGGCAGCCTGCTCTTCACACGGAGCTCGGCACCACCGCTGGGGCATCGGAAAGTTCTGGACAGCCAATGCAGCCGCAGACACAGCAGCCGCCGCCCCGCCGCAGCCTCCGTGGAGGCCATAGTGCATCATGCCACCTGTGACTGAGGTGATCCACAACTTCAGTCCTTGAAGCCCCTGCAGGCAAGATCTGTGGGGATCGCTGCCACCTCTGCTGCCACCTTGCCATCCTGCCGCCTATGGGTCTCCTCCCGTGCGCCCTGAAGCAGGCTCCCATCTCTGGCCTCTGCCTGGCTCCTGTCTGGCTCTACTCCCTCTGGGACAAGCAGCTGAGATAGCACCACCTGCTGGTGATTCAAGGTAACAACACCGAAACAAGAGAAGCTTGAAAAAGAGACACAGGCCAGATTTGAATGGTGAACTGAGGGTGATCTGAACTGTCCTTCACGGCAGGCCAGGGGCAACTGACCCTAACTGCGAACTAATTTACCAGCTTGAAAAGGCAGCTAGAAATCAGAGCTGAAAGGACATTGGACTTAAACAAAAAGTCTCAGAGTGTGCTTGATTGGTTCTGTTAGCTTAATAACTTAATTCTATTCCTACTGTTTTGTTCCTTTTTTTTCTTTTCCTCTTCCTTTTCTTCTCTTTTCTCCTCCCTATAAATCATATCTTTGTATAGAGGAACAGCACGCAAATAAGATGGTTGCTTAGCTTGTATGTTAGCATCATTGTATGTTTTATTTTTTATTTTTTTGCATGGGAGTTGGTTAGTCTGTAGCTGTGGTCTGTTGTTTTTAGCTGTTTCAGTTTAGGTCTCTCTCCATTTGTCGGTACATTTGTCTGTTTCCCCCCTTACTCCTCTCTCTCTCCACCCCCATCTTCCCCCACTGTCTACTCCATTCTCTTCCCTCTGCTAACCACATTTTATTTTAGGGAGTAAACCTACAGCCCCACTGCACAGACAAATTCTGAGGCAGTGGGAAGTGGGTTTCAGATTATTCATGCACCTGTCAGCGAATACCAGGACCTGCAGATAGATTTTGAATCACAGCTCCCTCCTTAAGTAAATCTCAAAACTGCAAAAAGGACCACCCCCAACCTACAGTGCAACTCTAGAATTGAACAAAGTAAGAAGGCATACATAAAGAATAGGAGATTGAACAAACAAAAGTAAAAGCAATCCCTCTATCCCTGAATAACAGAATTAAAGAAGATAGTGATGTAGAGGGAAGGAAAAAGTAGGGAGGCGGAAAAAACTGCACAAATGAAGAAAAACCAAAAGAAGAATATAGGTCTCACACACACTCCTGGGAGATCAGACACTGAGAAAACAGATTCCAGAACATAAACGATGAAGAGCCCTAAGAATGACTGGTCACATGCAACAAACCCAGACATCAACACATTAATAGAGAGAATTTAAAAAATTGAGGAGAGACAAGAGGAAAATAGGAAGGAGCTGATGTCAGAAATAACAGCAATAAAGAATACTGTGATGGAAATAAATAACAAACCTGGAAACAAATGAAAATGAAGAAACATCTTACCAAAATCTCTGGGACACCATGAAAGCTGTAGTAAGAGAGGAATTTATATCCCTCAAACACACATGAAGAAAATGGAAGGATCACAAATTAACAGCCTAAGAAACCACCTAAAAAGCTGGAAAAGCAAGACCACAAAAACCCTAATTTCAGCAGAAGAATGCAGATCACCAAAATAAAAGCCCAAAACCGGGACATAGAAGACAAAAAGAAAATACGAAAAATCAATGAAACAAGAAGCTGGTTCTTTGAAAGGATAAACAAGATCGATGGTCCCCTAGCTAGACTGACCAAGAAAAAGAGAGGAAAAGCCCAAATAAACACAATCAAAAACACAAAAGATGAAGTCACATCTGATCCTGAAGAAATACAAAATATCATTAGAGACTACTATGTACACTTGTATGGAAACAAACTTGAAAACCTTTCCAAAATGGAGGACTTTCTGTCATCACACAGCCTGCCTAGGTAGAAACAAGAAGAAATTGAGGCCCTAAATAGACCAATAACAGTCAAGGAAATTGACTACGTAATAAGAAAACTACCTACAAAATAAAGCCCTGGACCAGATGGCTTTCCAGTAGAATTCTATAAGACATTTAAGGAGGAGCGTATACCAATCCTACTGAAGGTATTTCAGGCTATTGAGAAAGATAGAACTCTCCCCAAATCATTTTACGAAGCTAACATCACATTAATACCCAAGCCAGGTAAAGACCCAACAAAGAAAGAGAACTACAGAGCACTATCTTTGATGAACATAGACGCTAAAATTCTCAACAAGATCCTAGCAAACCAGATTCAACAACACATCTCAAAAATCATCCATCATGACCAAGTAGGCTTCATCCCTGGGACGCAAGCCTGGTTCAACATTCGTAAAACAATAAATGTAATTAAATACATCAACAAATGTCAAAACAAAAACCACATGAGTATATCATTAGATGCAGAAAAAGCTTTTGATAAAATCCAGCACCCCTTCTTGATAAAAACCCTCGAATATCTAGGCATACAGGGAACATAACTCAAAGTAGTAAAAGCCATCTGCGAGAAACCCATAGCCAGTATACTCCTAAACAGACAAAAATTGGAACCATTTCCCCTGAAAACAGGAACAAGACAAGGATGCCCACTCTCACCCCTCCTGTTCAATATAGTATTGGAAGTCCTGGCTAGAGCGATCAGAGAAGAGAAGGCAATCAGGGGTATCCAAATAGGAAAAGAGGAAGTCAAATTATCTCTCTTTGCAGATGACATGATCGTATACCTTGAAAACCCAAGAGAATCTGTCAAAAACCTACTTACACTGATAAAGGCCTTCGGCAAAGTCCCAGGATATAAAATAAATGTGCAAAAGACAATCGCATTTCTTTACACCAATAATAAACACACAGAAACCCAAATAAAAACCACAATTCCATTCACAATATCCACCAAAAAAAATGAAATACCTTGGCATCTTCCTAACCAGAGACGTGAAAGACCTTTACAATGAAAACTACAAAACTCTGCTCAAAGAAATCAAAGATGACACAAACAAGTGGAAAAATATCCCATGCTCATGGATTGGAAGAATCAACATTGTGAAGATGTCCATCTTACCTAAGGCAATCTACAGATTCAATGCAATACCTATTAAATTACCAGCAACATTCTTCTCAGACCTAGAAAAACAACACAGGAATTCATATGAAAACACAAATGACCAAGAATAGCCAGAACAATCCTCAGCAAAAAAAAAAACAAAGCAGGTGGTATCACATTACCAGAATTCACACTTTACTATAAAGCTACAGTCATCAAAACAGCTTGGTATTGGTATAGGAACAGGCATATAGACCAATGGAATAGAATTGAGATTCCAGAGGCAAGACCTCAATTTCTCAACCAACTCATCTTCAACAAAGCCTCCACCACCTACCACTGGGGAGAGGAGAACCTATTCAGTAAATGGTGCTGGGAAAACTGGCTGATCACATGCAGAAGATTGAAACAGGACCCCTATCTATCCCCATACACAAAAATTAACTCCAAATTGATCAGGGACCTAAATATAAAACCTCAAACCATAAAAACCTTAGAAAATGAAGGACATACCCTCATGGAAATTGGAACTGGCATCCAATTCCTGAACAAAACTCAAAACCCACAGGCCATAAGGGATAAGATAGACAAGTGGGATCTCATTAAACTGACAAGCTTCTGCAAAGTCAAAGAAACGATCAAGAGAGCAGGGAGACAGCCTACTGACTGGGAAAAAATATTTGCCAACTCCAGGTCTGACAAAGGCTTAACATCCTGGATCTACGAGGAACTCAAACGTGCTGAAAAGAAAAAAACAAACAACCCCATTATAAAGTGGGCAAAAGATATGAACAGGCACTTCACAAAGGAAGACATCCGGGCAGCCAACAGACACATGAAGAAATGCTCAACCTCATTAATCATCAGGGAGATGCAGATCAAAACCACACTGAGATACCACCTAACTCCAGTCAGAATGGCAATTATCAACAAC